GCCCCTGCCGAGCCCCTTCATCAACAGGGTATGAGCCCAAGTTCTACGCTTCTCTTGGATGGCGAGACAAGGGGGCCGAATTATGGTCCTCATCCCGCCGAGCCACTGCATGATCTTCAACATGAGGCGGGACAACAGGGCGTGCCTATAAATCTGCCGAATGGAGTTGCAGCAACAGTTGTTCCAGGAGCTACGTTGCCTGCCGAGACGATTCCTGCAGTGCAAGCTCAGGGAGACCGTGACCCTGGACCACGTCAGATTCCGTTGGATCGCGGAACAGTGGTTAACGACCCCTCTGGGACGGGGGAAGAAACCGGATTTGTCCCACCAGCGACGTACGTCACCGGAAGTGGGCGCGACGACGTGGCGCTTGGTGCGCCCCTTTTTCCGCGCTTTATGCCGTCACCTCTGCCAGGACAATCTCCTGTATCGGCACAGGGGGCTACACCTACCAGGGCAACTGCTTGGTTGTCGAAGATTGGCGAGTACCTGCAGAGAACAGTGGAAGTGACAGCATGGACCTCTCACGGGGCAGCTTCTGGGAGTCAGGTTGGACAATGGCCAGTGCAGGAAACTACTTATGGGATGCCTGCGCCTTCTATGACACCGAGGGCGTCAATGGTTGCGGTGGAGAATCGTCCACCCTCTTCGACTGGATCGGCTGGCATAACACCTGAGCTGGTCCAAGCTGAGGTAGCAAAGCAGCTTGAGGCGGCCATGGGCGACCTCAATGAGCGACTGCAAATGGAGAAACGTAGGGCCGAGGAGGCCACCCTTGAGGCGCAGAGACTTCGGCATCAGCTGGAGGCCAGTGAAGCAGCAAGCCTGACAAGACTTCTTCCACCTGGAGATCTACAACCTCCCCCGGGACTATTGGAGCGTGATGGTTATAGTGGCCCCGGAGTTTATACAGGAGTTACCACAGGCCATACCCCACTGGTCCCTAATGCGAGTAGTGCTCCGCTACCAGTACTTGACGCCGCTCTTCTACAGGAGCCTCTACGCCACGTTCGAAATGATGGAGAGCAAGTACGAGATCCTCCTGGGGCTAGTTCAGGTTTCGTTGATGGTTATAGTGGCGCCGGAGTTTCAGGAGTTACCGCAAGCCATACCCCATCTGGTCCCAATATTAGTTTACAAGGTGTGCGTCCAAGATCACAGTCACCTGGTCCTCGTGCCTTTCTCCAAGGTCTATTTGGTCGCGGGTCCACAGGTCGTACAGACAAGCCGAACGATGAGGCTCGAGCTGTGGGTACAAGTGCCAATGGTCCGCAGAGGTTGGGGCCACCCTTGCCTACTGGGTCTGTGAATGCTGGGAGCGTGCCAGGGCCTATTCGTCTACAACACCTGAGGGGAACTTATTGGCTACCTTGGCCCGTAGCATTGAGACCTTGCTACAGCAGCAGCAGCAGGGCGGCAAGTCAGATCGTCCCGAAACCGTCAAGCCTGGCATCACTGATCTCCCGAGCCTTCCTGAATATCAACCCACGACTGGCAGCATCGACCTTTTGAACTGGCTCACTCATATACAGCCGATAATGCAGGATCTGTCGGATACGAGCTATGCTTGGTGGGAGGCTACATTGCAAGATGCTCTTACATGGTACACACAATACAGCGCGGCATCGCCACTGGAAAGATTGCAGCTCAAGCCTACCTCGTCGCAAGCTCTCAGTTCCGGAATGGGCTCGTGTTGAGCGGAGGGCCACGGCGATGATGCTTTCAGCAGTGCCTCAGCCTGTTCGTGAAGAAGTAATAGCTATGGGCAGCGTTACAAGTTTGGCTTTGCTGTGCAAACTGTATGCCGTGTACCAACCTGGGAATTTGCAGGAAAAGGCTTTGGTGTTGCAAAAGCTTGAAAGACCTGACACCTGCGAGACGGCCTTGCAGGCGGTGGAAGCACTGAGGAAGTGGTCGCTGTGGAGAAGGCGGGCAGCTTCAATTGGCATTGCGGAGCCCGATGCTTCGGTGTTGATCCAGGGCTTGGACCGCATCACGACAAAGGTTGTGAAGGCCAACAGTGAACTCAGTTTTCGGGTTTCTTTGATACGGAGCACCCTGCAGGTGGATGTTTGTCCGAGTTCCCAGTCGGTCACGACTTTCTTGCAACACTTGCAGGCCGAGATGGAACAGCAGGCCCGTTTAGGGGCCACCAATGCGGCCGGAGCTGGAGACAAGGCCTTGAGGGCCCTTGGTGCTTCAGATGCAGCAGCTTCGGCAACTTCCACTCCCTCATCGCCCACGGCGTCTGGTGCCTAGAAGCTTATTACGGGGCTACGTCGTTTCTTTCAGGGCGAGAAGGGGTGCAGACGTGGCAATACGTGCCGGTATCCACACACCTGGAGTTTGCTGGAGAAGGGAGCAAGATCCAAGAAGTGTTTGGCTTGTGGGTCTACCGCTCACAAAGTGAAGGACTGCAAGGCTCCCGGAGGAGCATTGGCAAAGACTGCTCGTGCAATGGGCAGCGGGCCTGGTGAGACAGGCTCAACCTCACCCACCAGCTCGGCGCCTGAAGTGGGTCAGCGCAAGGTGAACTTCGAGGATGAGGTGATCCAGACTAAGGTCCTCAAACTGCTTGCCGAGGTGCAGGGCATCCCGCTCTTCAGGTCCGTGACCGAGCGGATCCAAGGATGGAGAGATGGCTTCTTTTCTATCACTAAGGCTCGACCAGCCCTGTTGGACTCCGGTGCTACTCATGTTCTTCGGGCCCCACACAATGAGGAGGAGTGGAATGAAGCAGCGGATGTGAGTGTTAAGCTGGCGGGTGATGCAACGACTACTATGCGACAGACCTCCACGGGCTCTTTGTTGTCGAGCGACCAGCTGGCCCAGGTGATTGTCCCCTTGGGAAAGGTGATTGCTACCCTTGGTTACGAGTTGAACTGGACCTCTCGTTCCTGTGAGCTTGTGGGACCCAATGGTGAGGTCCTTCCTTTGGTCGTCAAGAATGGCTGCCCGGAGATTGGTCAGAAGGCAGCAGCAAGGCTGATACAGCAGCTCGAGGAGGAGCAGGTTGCTCAGCTTGAAGATGCCACCCAGGCTTCCCAGAAGGCCTTGAGAACATTGAAGGCGAGTTGGTGGTCCTACCTCCAGGAGTATGTTCGGACCCACGACCCCGTTGAGGCTTGTGCTGCGGTGGACAAGGCGTTCTTCTTGGACTATAAGGATGATGTCAAGAGACTTATGGTCACTAAAACACCGAGGAATAGCATTTGGGAGATGCTGAAGAACCTCTGCGTGAACCGTCGTGGCAGAAAGAAGCTGATGAAGGCCCACTCTTGGGTCCTACGATGGGATCCTCCTACTGTGGATCGCCCTCGCGATGCTTTGAAGCACCTATCCTACATTATTGGGAACATGGTGTACGTCAACATGAGCATCCTCTTGATTGAGAATGAGTTTGAGGATGTATGGAGAGTTGTACAATGGGCGGCCTTGACGGGCCGAATCAGCACTATGGTTGCTCGGGATGGCACAGGCACCCCGCTCGACAAGGTGATTGCAGGCCCTCATCGCAGCAAGTTCCATTTCCTCCATGCATTGGCCTCTGCCTCACGCGAGCTCTTTGGTGGAGGCGTTGTGACACTTTATGTTGAAATTGTCCTCGCGTGAAGAAGTTTGAGGAGGACCATGGTGATGGAACGTCTTCAATGTGGCCTCCCTGGACGTTGTGCAAGGATGCCCAGCAGTACTTTGAAGAGATGGGTTTGATGAATGTTTCCGTGACCCAGTTTGAAGGTGATCGGACTGCGAGGCTGGCCAAGTTGAACAGTGATGCTGAGTGGCGACTTCATGTTGCTCGCAACC